TACATTTGCTTGCGGTCAAACCATAGGTAATTTATCACAGATACTGTACTTCCATTTACATTGATCAACATACTTAAGAGGATATAATTCACATAAGCGCTAAGACATTCTTCATTGCATATCAATTTCATTATAATCACCTACCCACAACATGCATTACTGATGGCAAGAAGTGGTCTACATGAAACGAAAAATAAGGCAAAGGCATCAAAATGAAGCATAAGAAAATAGCGCTGTAGCAAGAGCTACCTTGTGTATATGTGACCATAACTGACAAAAGGTACCTTATGGAGGGTAGTGAAATTCGTCTTTATAGCCAAGAAAATCCAACTTCCTGAGCTGTATTTATCATAAAATTACTCCACATGATGTCAAAAGTTACTATGTAACTTTTAAACAAAATAGATGAGCAACAGAGCAGTCACAGGTTGATATTTTTTATTATAATGATGAATTTTAAAATCCGCCATAAGGTACCTTTTGTCAATTATGGTCACATATGATATATAACCTGGCCTCCATCCTTTACCAAAAATCTACCTGTAAGTCTTTAAAGCGTAAGTCCGGTGTATTGTTGGTGAATTTTTTTATTGGCTTAATATGATTGCCTGACCATAATGATGTATTCCAACACCCATTGTCTAAATAATTTTTTCACTGAGATATGAGCCTTCAAAGATGCTCATTTTTATTACTTCCTGTCAGTGGGTGTGGTTAAATGTGACATCACTAGAGGCATAGATGCACATAATTCCACTCCTTTAAAGGGGGAAATAATCCTTTATTCTCATGCCTAGTAATGTAATAGCACATGTTTCAAGATTGGGATCATTAGCATTCATTATATCAAGCATGCAACTGCAAGAAAATGTCAATATTACAAGTAGGCAAATTTTCTTGTTTGCTATTTTGAGTCTTTTTCTTGCAGTTGCATGCTGAAAATAATGAAAGCTAATGATCCCAATCATTAAATTAGTGATATTACATTACTAGGCAGGATTATTTCCCCCTATAAAGGAATGGAGTTATGCATCTATGCTTCTAGTGACGTCACGTTTAGCCACACCCACCAACAAGAAGTAATAAAAATGAGCATATTTGAAGGCTCATATCTCAGTGAAAAATTTGTTTTAGACAATGGGAGTTGGAATACATCATTATCATGGTCAGGCCATCAAATTAAGCCAACAAAAAAACTTCACCAAAAATACACCGGACTTACCCTTTATTGTCGAACCCTGCAGCACTGAAACAAATTAGCAAGGCATTGTTGCTGCCTGTGAGGAATTTTTGTGGGAAGATATCATAATGTGTATATAGTTAATATGGATGAATGAACATACCTTTGCAAGAGTTACTGCAGTAGCTACTTTCTTGACAACATCATAATCCTTTACATTTAGTAACATAGTACATGTATGTACCAGTTCACTAAAATCATTTAACTGA